GAGCTGCCGTGGTGTGATGGTGCCCGAGCCCCGGCACAGGCTGCCCAGAGAGGCTGTGGAGGCTCCTGCTCTGGAGATCTCCAACCCGCCTGGATGGACCCTGTGCCCCTGCTCTGGGTGTCCCTGCTGGAGCAGGGCTGGACTGGATGGTCCCTAGAGCTCCCTGCCAACCTCAGCCACTCTGGGATTCCGTGGCAACAGATACCCCTGGATTTCCTGCTTCCTGTGTTCCTCCTAATTAGAGAAATTCCCAGTGTTGGCATTAGTGAAGGCCCACAGAAGAGCAGGCAGAAGTCCTACATTGAGATAGATGGTCAAGATGAGCTTGACTCTGATCTAGGAGAGTTTGTAAACAGCTGGAAACATGAAAGCTTGAAAGCTCTAGCGTATAAAGTTCTTGTGAAAAATGTGCTACAGCCACTAGATACAGCTGTTACCTGTTTATCTGGCTTCTGTGTGTTTTTGTTTTCAGTGGTTATGACTTTGGCTACATGGTGAAGCTGCTGACAGATTCCAGGTTACCAGAAGAGGAACACGAATTTTTCCATATCTTGAACCTTTTTTTCCCCTCTATCTATGATGTAAAGTACCTGATGAAGAGCTGCAAAAACCTCAAGGTATCGCATCACCCCCAGGGCCAGAATAATGCACTGATGTCAACGCTGTAAATGAGCATAAACCAAATGAGCATAAACCTGCTGCATGTGTCAAGTCCATTAAAGGTGGAATGGGTATAAAAGCTATAGTCAAATGTGGGCCCCTATAAGTCTGTGTGTAACAGATACAGACATCCATATGCACGTTGTGCAGGGGACATTCCCATAACCTTCCAGGTAGCAGCAGCTTCGGAGGGCACCTGGAATTCCGCGTGCCTGTTTTCCCTGTGCAAGGTGGAGCGCTGCTTTTGAAACGATCTATTGCACAGCTTGATGAACGGGGAGCACACTCAGGTCGAGAGGAATTTATCTGCTGAATCACAGGCTAATATGAGCAAAGAGAGGGAAAGGTTCAGCATCTGTAACCTATGGATAGCTCTATAGTCATCTCGGTATCTGCTGTAAGAAATCAAGGTACCACAATTCCACCCATGTATGTGTATGTTCTTGAGCAGTATTTACAGCACTGCATCGCTCAGAGCTGCTGTGCCAGGACTGCTGGAATCTTCATCAATTCATCTTAAGAGCCAGTATTTGCACTTAGCTTTCTGCAGAAGTGTGGCTTGCAGCAGACTTGGAAGGAGATGGGTTTTTAGGAAATTGTCTGCTCTGTTCTGATTGCAGGGCGGCCTTCAAGAAGTGGCAGATCAGCTCGATTTGCAGCGAATTGGGCGACAACACCAGGCAGGGTCAGACTCTCTGCTCACAGGCATGGCATTCTTCAGGATGAAAGAGGTAGTGCCGTGTTCCCCTCCTTCCAGCAGCCACACAAGAGGGCTCTGCTTCCTGCTTGGCTTCTCCGTGCGCTCCACAAATTTCAACATACACAATGTTTTTGTTCTGTTTGTTTTTTTGAGCCTTATGGCAGCTCAGTTCAAAGTGCCAGTCAAAGCAAGTGTTGATACTGGCACAGGTACATGTTTAAATTGCATCTTAGAGGTGGCTGGCCTCAAATGACCTGTTGAATTAATGAGGTGCTTTCTGGTTAGAGGCGCAATTAAACAATGCCCATTTATTTTCCTTTGTGCTTTCTCTGCAGCTGTTTTTTGAGGATACGATCGATGATGCAAAGTATTGTGGGCGGCTCTACGGCCTTGGCACAGGGGTGGCTCAGAAACAAAACGAAGACGTGGACTCGGCCCAGGAGAAGATGAGCATCCTGGCTATTATCAACAACATGCAGCCGTGAAACGCGGTAGCCCTGTGCAGAGCACGGTTACCGTCCTGGCAGCTGCTGTCCTCAAGCATTTTTCCTAACAATATCTCAAGGCATCTACAGGATGCAGAAGGCAGGAGGCTGAAGAACTGCATCTTCATTTGAAACCAAGAAGGGAGTTGACTGAATTCCAAATGCCAGCATTGGTGGCTTGCCATCTTTTTTTAATACCAAGGGCAAGAGACAGAAAATACTGTGTATACCTCTGTTTTTTTCCTCTTTATACTGTACAGAACCTGCAAGGAAGACTTAAGAGTAGAGTATTCGGTAAAGCTAAGGGTCTGGAAATCCAGTGAAATCGGACACAGACATGCACACAAATTTGCAAATTGTGCTTTAGGAAGCTTGTTTTAAAACTTCTGCATGTTGTGAGGGTGACAGCTTCACCTCATGTTTTGCTTACTTTTATCTTTGTGTAGTCTGTGGATATTGCGCCCTTTGATCACTGCGGAGGTTTGGGAAAGGATAACATTAAAAATAATCCTTGCAGATAAAAATATTCAGAGATTTGCTTTAACAACAGTGAGAATGGATATACTGGAGCTGATTTGATCAGCTGCATAGCTTCTAATTTTGTATGGTACAGGTTTGACCCATACCGAGCCTCAGCTTAGGTCTTACGGGTATTAATAAATGTTCTGGAGTAGATTAAGAGAGCCTAAAAGTTCACCTTTGCTACAGGACCTTTTGACAGGGGACTGGACCAGTGTTCTGACTTTGCTTGTCTTCAACTTGGCTTACAAATTTTGTTCTTCTCCTTGCAACACAAGTAATGCAGCAGACAGAAGTTTTCTCCCTCTTTCCCCAGCCTTTTTCAGCCCCGAAATTTTGCTATATTTAACATCTAACAAGTCCTTTTCTCTTCATCATAAACATCTGAAGAGTAGCCTGAGGCTGAAAGAGCACCTTGGGGTTCTGACTCCTAAAAAAGCAAGCTAGTCTATTAGTACATTATTTTCAACAGGTCTATAATGACATTTCTTAGGGGAAAAGCAAAAACAACCCTTTTGGAGATGGCAAACTTAAAATTTTGACTTTGTCTTGCATTTTAAACAACCTTAAGCAATTCGTTATTAGGAGTTAAGGTTTAAAGCTGATATTTAAAATGCTTGTAAATACGACTTGTTTTTAATTTTTGTAAAATAAATTTTTTTTTTTAAACTGGGCCTTGTTTCAGATTTTCCGTATAGCATTGAAACCCCGAAGTTCAGGACTTGGAACCTGAACTGGAGAAGTGCCTGGATCTAAAGAGGAGGAGACTATTTCAGCCTCATTCTCTTCTGTTTCTGATCCGCTCCTAGGGCAGGTCTTGGTCAGACCCGCTCCAAGGCCGTTGTGCAGGGGCTGCCTCGGTGCTCAGGGCTCTGGTGACCTCCTGCCCGGCCTCCCTGCTCCCCTCTCTGTCCCGGGAGGTGACAGCCCTTCTGCTCATCTGTCCTGGGCCAGGTTTTCCTGCTTCGTCTGAGCAGGGATGCTCTTCCCTGAGTGCTGTGGGAGCTGCTGGGTTAAGCAGTAGCTCCCCCTCCAGGTGTTCAGGTAGGGGGGACAGGATATAGAAAACTGCAAGTTAGTGGCAAAGGCTCAACAGGCTGTTTAACACCTTGCCAGAAGGATCCTTGTTGGGTATAAGCACTGACTTTCCCAACTGCTACTCAAGTTGCTGTGAATCTTTACTGGGCCTGTGACAGCATCTGTGCCAGGAATTGGTATCAATGTGTGCTGGTCAAGTGATTTGGAGCAGTTCTTGATCTAAATCCCTTTCTCCTTATGCCTTCCTCCTTTTTAACAGTCTTTTCTGGATGTGTAAGTTTGCTGAAGTCAGCCTTTTGAGCTCATGGCTGTATCCTAATGTGAACGTTTCTCCTGTATTTAAAAAGTTGATGCTAGAATTTATGAAGATGCTATATTCAGTGAAATTTTGCAGCCTTGCCTTTGCTCTTCCAGGAAGAGTTAAATGTTTCTCCTCAGTGAGGCAGAGCCTGCAGTTGGCTGCAAGACTGATCCTACTACTGCATTTTCAAGAGTCCAGAGCTGGCATCAATTTTGACACTTTGAGAAGAGTAACAGTCCTACAGAACTTGGTGGTACCTGTCACCTAGAACAAGCTCAAATTTAACATCACCTTAGCAAAAAAGCATTTTGTTTGGCTGTGCACATCCCCAGGAGCAAAGACTCTCAGTTTTCTTCACTTAAATCTCTTACACTTATCAAGCACACCTAGCACGGGTAACAAATCTTGCCTTCCCTCTCGTGGTGTGAGCTTGGCTTTATCAAACAAAGCTAAGCACACTTTTTTTTTTTAATCCTCTGCGTTAAATTTACACTACTTAACAAAAATAAAAGACTTAAATGATAGACACTAATTTCCACCCATGCATGAAATTAAATGCTAAAGTCTAGCTGTAGAAGGTGTTTATTTAAAGAACAAAAATAAATTGACAATGCTTGCACGCGCAATACTGGCTTAAACGTCAGACTGCTTAAAAAAAATATATTTTTCCCGAGGGCAGCTACAACTTTTCCTCTGTTGAAAGACTGCTGTAGCTGTCTTAAAAATCCTTCTTTTGCATGTAAACTCCAATAGTGTCCCATGGCCTAACTTCCCACAAAAAAAAAGGGGGGGAAAAACAAAAAAACCCCTCTACAACAATCCTATATACAGCTCAAGGCCACAATCTACTGCTTTTCTATTTTTCCATTACAATCTTATTTAGTAGCAGCAGTGGCTGACCATAAGAATCTGTATATAAACCTGATTTTTTTTTCCTTTTCCTTTTTTTTTTGTAATTTTATCCAGCACAGCAGCCTTCCATCACTGTGTCCATTGAAAGCAGCTTTCCCTTCCTTGACGACCCAGCCCTGGCGGGGAGCGGCTGCAGCCGGCGCGAGGGGGACGCCGGGCTCAGCGGTCAGAGCAGGAACCTCCGGGCAGCCCTCGCGTGGGCGCCGTGTTCCCCGAGCAGGGCCAGGGCCCGGCCGTGCAGATCCGCAGGACACTCGGGGCCCAGGTGCAGGAGGACCAGGCAGCACTCCAGCACATCGGGGAAAGGGAAGGCCTGCAGGAGGGAACGGCGACGCGCGTTACTTCATCCCAACGCTCATCCGCAGCACGCTCGAGTAGCCAGCTCTAAACACACTGCTGTACTCTTCAAGAGCAAAACCACAGCTCAGAGGTATTTGCTCGCTCTTGCTAGTGAATTCGTTCATCTTTAACCTAGTTTGTTCCTTCTTGCTCCAGCAGCACGACTACCTCTAGTTGTATTATAAACTAGATAAGGGAGGAGATGGTCAGGAGACACAGTGTTCAAGTACTTGACTCTTTTCAGAAGATTTTACAGTTCCTGATCCAGACAGGCCAAAAGTTCCTAAGTTCTCTATCAAAACTGCTTTTGTGTACATAATTATGATAAAAAGCAAGGGATTACTTGCTCTTTTTATTTGCTGGAGTATTTTACCAGGTTTTCCCACGTGGGGTCTGTTCTTTCCCCTGCATTGTCATGTGTGAAGCAAATCCTGCCCCAGTTGGCCACCCACACCCCGTGGTGTTTGTGTCTCAACACCCCCTTGATCAGGTCAGGGAAATGCCTACGTGTGTCAGGCAGCCCACACCTGCGTTGCCACCACCACGATCGCAGTAACGCACTGAGTGGCACCGGGGCACAAGAAGTTACCACTCCTTGGCTCTCTGCATAAAAGGGACTGGATGCTGCTGCTGCCCTTACTATCCTCTCCAGCTCCAAGGACCAAAATATTGCCTTGTCTTTTTTTTTTTTTTTCAGAACTTCCAACACTTGTTCTAAAAACTTACCTTTAAACTGTCTGGGAATTCTGCAAGCTTCTGGTTTGCTTTTAGAAGCTGTTTCGTTAGCTCAGGGAGTGTAATTGGTTCCTTTGCTTCAGTCTGACTGTTGAAAAAAGAGCAGGTGTTATGAGTAACTGTTTTGCTTAAGTGACTGTACAGGCTCCCTTCTTCACTATGAACAGAATGTTCAACAAATGTTATACGCTCTAGCTCTTTCTTGCCCATGACCCAAATAATTCTTCAGCAAAGAAACAGAGCTCTTATAGGGTACTTGTACTTTTCATTTTCTTCCTCTTTGCAAATTGCTTTGTTTGTTCACAGTATCGATATACCCTATGAATAAGAAAGTTATTGAGCTATAGTAAGCTTAACCATCCAGTATTTCCACTCAGGGAAACACAAGAGTTCTGAGCTGTGTGTCTCTAGGTGATGAACTTGAGAGCAGAACAAGTCTGAGCAAACAACAGCTTTGCCCTACGAATACAGAACATAAAAGCAGCACTTCAATGTGCTTCCTGATGTCCCAAACTTACCACTTCATCTGGCTGCTGTCAGAGCAGGGCTTGTCTGACTCGGTCTCTGAGCTGGGTTGCTCCCTGCTTTCCTGGGTGCTTCCAGTTGTGCTTCCCTGGAGATTGTTCCTCTGATGCTGGTGGATCATCTCTGCGAGGGTCTGCTGACCCTCTGCTATGTCTCTCTGGGTACTCTGCAAAGAAGCCATCGCTCCTGAGAGGAGCACTTTGCAGCCGCTCAGTTTTGACTGTCTCTGTTCCAGATCCACTGAGCTAGCTCTCGAGTCGTCTTCTATCTCGCACCTAGGAAGTTCAGCTGGAGGGTGAAGATTTTCACCTGTCTCAACTGCACCTTGATCAGCAGTTTCTTCAGGGGAAGAGCTTGAAATGCAGCTCGGTTCCAGAGCGGTGTTCTCGCTCGGAGCCAGCACAGCCTTCTGCAGCTCTTTGGGTGGATTCCACCACAGGTCATACAGGAGCCCATAAGCCACGAAGGCCTCTAAACTTCTGCAAGCATCCATGCTCTGGGAATCTGCGCCGTCCAGTTTCTGCCTCAGGGTATCACAGCCTAATAAGGCAGAAAGAATTAAAAACAACGTCATAAGGATTTCCAAAGACAAAGATCAGATCTGATAAGTGAACTGGCTGTCTTGGGAGACCCAGACCACAGATTTACTCAGATACTGGAAGAGGGGCGCAGCTAGTGAGAAAGACAGGGATCTGCTAAACACAACGCTTTGTCCTAGCTAGGACAACCTGCATGTTCTCATCGTCACCACGAAGCTTCCTTGATCCTAAACTGCACATCAGGATATTCACTTGCACTGCAACTCTGAAAAATGATACGGGGCAGCTTCCTTTCACAGTCTGCACTTCGAGCACTCAGCAGTTCTTGCAGTAGCCAAACTCCACTGCTAATGACACAGACTTGGAAGCAGGATGCTGCTAAGAGCCACAATTATAGCCATATCCATGGGGCTGTTTTACTCCTTCAGAAGTACCTAGTCAGTGTGGTGTTAATGGACACAAAACTGCTCACAAGGAAGGTCCCCCAGGGTCCCCCAGGGTCCCAAGAGCTGCGCAGTGAGAGCCTTACCTTCAGGGAGGAGGAGGCTGCAGATCTCTTGCATCAGAGTGAAATCACCAGCGTCGTAACTGCGGGTCACAGCTCCGAGCAGGCTTCTCACTGCCTCATCCCATGCAGCAGTCTGGGAGCTCAGGAACGCGAGGGTCACGTCGTGGGAGATGTGGAAAAGCAGCTACGGGAAGCAGCAAGAGCAAAACTAATAGCTTCAGTGTGAAGTATGAATGACGCCCAGGTTGCTACCATTGTGGAGAAGCACAGAAGCACGTGACTTAAAAGCAATTTTAACAATGTAATTAATGTAATTTCCTTTGTCCAGGAGACAAGAGGACTTTAGCATTACATGTTCTTGTAAGAGCAGCAGCTGTGCTTGGAGGCCGAGGAGGTGAATGAGAAGCGGGAGGACCTCAGAGGTCAGTGACTCACCAGGCCAGAGAGGAGCTGCAGCAGCAGCAGCACTGCTCTGTGCACGGACCTTCTAAACCCCAGCAGAGTGTAAAAACCAGTTGCCTCTGCTAACCATCCAGTGTGAAAAACTGAATCACTGGCCTTTGCAATCACTCCCACTCAGCCAGCACGTCCCACTGATCCCAGTGCTCATCACTGAACAACTTCTCTCCTTCTTCTTACCCTGTGCAGAAACAAGCTGACTCCTATGCAAGCCTCCCAGCTGCTTATCACCCACCTCTCCTAGAAAATAACCTCATCCTGCAGCAGAAACGAGTCCCCTGGCAAGGGCTGCATCACACCACAACGCAAGGTTCCCGTGTGACAGATGTAAGCGCAGTCACCTGCTTGGGGTGTGTGTTGCTGGTGGCAGGAGGGTACTGGATGCTGCGCAGCTGCTCCCGGGCACACGTGGCTTGTTCAGCAGTGCTCAGGCCCAGTGCACTCTGCCAGACTGCCACCACCGTGGCCAGAAACGGGGCCTCCTTGTTCACCTCCCAGCTGTGGTAGCAGGGCGATGAAGAGCCCTTCTGCTCACACGGTTTTCCTTCACTAAGACGTTTGCAGAGCAATTCATTAAGGCAGAAAACAAGCCTTTGTCCCTTTAATAAGAGAAAAAAAGAAGAATATATCCCTTATTGGACACAGAAGGTTAAATTTAAAAACATCATGTCAGTAGTGCTGATCAGTGACAGTTTGTTTCACAACTGCAGCTACCCAGGGACAACACCAATCAAGTCAGAGAATCTAAGGCCAGAGGCAACCTCAGAACAAGCCAATCTGCCACCCAGTCCATGCGAAACAAGTTCCCAGGTTAAGTCTCAGCTGTAACAGTTACAGTTAGCTTGCTCATTCATTTAATGCAAATAACAAATACTGCTACCTCTTTCTTCTTAACATCAGTATTATATACTTAAAAAGAAATCAGAGCAAGAAAACCACACTACATCAATTACATTTTTAAAAGATACCTCTCTCAACT